TATCAAGGAGTTATTCCTTGGTTTTCTTTTTTTATAGATCAATTAGTTATCGGGCAGATTCCTTGGTAGTATTAAATTCATAAAACTCGATTTAAGACAAAAATTGAAATGCCATCTTGATTCTTGATAATAAGCTTTCCATGTAATACAGATTCTTTTTAAGAAAACACAATTGTATATTTGCATTAGTATACTAGCCGGGTTGAATAAGCAGATAAATATCAATATGTACAGGATGTATGTATGTATATTGTAATTATTCTAGCTAAGCCTCCCTTACTTGCCCCACCCAACAACCAATAAATGTGAGTCATCATCATCTCTCTCGCTCTCTCTTTCTCATGCTCTCTCTCTCTCTCTCTCTCTCTCTCTCTCTCTCTCTCTATATATATATCTGTCATGCTCTCTCTCTCTCTCTCTCTCTCTCTCTCTCTCTCTCTCTCTCTCTCTCTCTCTCTTCATCTTTTTTTCTTGCACCCTCTCCCAAACTCCACCATATTCCAAAATAAAGAACTTGAATTAGAGCATACAATACACTTCTTCAGGCATGACATACTGTGTACAAAACTTTCTTCTCAACCCTTTTGCAACCATACATCCAACACATATCACTTTCAAAACTATGGGTTAAAAAAATAAATTATAAAAAATGAGAACAAAATGAATATCCACATTATTCTGACCAGCTTTTGTTTTCCCATTTCTTTAATTCCAAGATCTTCAAAAGACCTTGAGTCAGAAAAAAATTGTAGGATTAGCATACATTCATGCTTTGCCTACATTCTTTCTACATAAGTACAAAAGGAAAAAAAAACCAATTTATAATAGTCATCACATCAATGCATTTCACAAAGTAGTGAGTAAAATATGAAATTCACTGAAAATTGTAGTGGCATTTGCATGAATACACAAATATTTAAATAACAATCTTTATATCTTTATACACACTTGTAAAATTCTGGTACTGTACAAAGGCCACATAATGTGCAATCAGGTTCTGTACAATTCATAGGTATATAATATGGGCCATTTATGCAAAAGATTAAATATCAGCTGATAATATCTGTTAATACATGGTACATGTAATGGACAGGTACCATCTAGCTCCAGACCTTCAGCTCAGACAAGATACATACGCTACCTGTAGATATCCAATCTCCATTAAACAATGAAGGCTAAATATGTACCGGTAAGCAGATTTCTCTTTTCACTCATTAAATTGGCAACTGTTTTCATATCAGTACAAAACATGCTTTGGTACATAAAATATGAAGGCAGCGCATATTATTAAAAACATGTAAAAGATACCATCGCCTTCCTCTGTTAAACATTTCAAAAGTGAACTATTATGCAAAAGTGGATTGGTAAAAGTATATAGCCTTCAATATACAGTAGTAACTATACCATTATCATATCATCTGTATGTAGCCTAGCCGGAAGGGCATTAATGCAATGCATGTACAGGTAGGTGTACATGTACTTTAACAGAATTAATACCTGATGGCTCTAAAGAATGAAAAGACAAATGAATAACTACACCTTCAGTACATTGCATAGCCGAATGCTAATTTACAGCCTGCTGGTATTGAAAAGCCAAAAAGTTGATTCATGGATGAAATAATTATCTTGAGGGGGTGGGGGGGGGGGGGTGTCTTTCATTATTTCTGACCTTTAAATGCAGGTCAGATAGGCATTGCTTTGAAAACACCATTTTCTAAAAAGATAGGGACAGAGTTGTAACAAAAACTTCACTAATACATTTCAGCTAGAGAGAACAAGCTAAGGACAATTTCAGCCTTCAAACAATTTACTCATGGTTCAAGTATTGGTCAACAACATCAGTGGATACACTGGTAACACTACACATATCTATATCAGTTTTTGTATAAGCCTATATTTTCATGTACATTTTCACTTTCACAGATGACTAGGGAAATAAAGACCTTTTTTGCGAGTTGTTGTTTTCACAATAATTAATACATGCTACTTACAATTCATGCTCACACAATGCATTGTAAATACAAGTTAAACAACTAATTTTTGTGCTTTGCTTATTTTGCAACCCGACAACAAATCACATATTAAAGTCATGTAAATAGACATGTGACTCATCCCAAAAATAATGGCTTTTACAGTGCTATGACAATTTTCTCAAAGCTATAAATGCTTTGTGTTAAAATATCTTTCAATTAGTCTTTTCTACAATTGGGACTCCTCATATAGTGATAGGGGGTCCACACATTTGGGGCCCTATTACAATCAATGCTGTTTCATATCGTCTGTCTGGGTTTCCGTAAAAACTATTGATATAAAATAAAAGCGAGAAATGTTCCTCTGCTAAAATCCATAAAAGTACTCTGGCGAATTAAAAACTACATATACAGAGGTGTTGAATATATGCAGTGGAATTGTAATGGTATAAAATATCACGCTGTCCCGCAGCTTTTTGTTTTCATCATCGTAAAAATAAGAAATTATGTATTTTTACCATAGTTTCTTCTCATGTTTTATTAAAAATATAAACATCAGTGATAAGAAAGCCGAGTACACAGTCAAGTGATGTTTGATAAAATAACACAAGCCAATAGCATGAAGAAAATTTGTACATGAAAAGATCACTGCATTCACTAACATGTGCCGTATCCATTACTCTACCACTTGACAAATTATATTGATACAAAAACAACTTGGTTTGTAGCAGTGAAGACTTGCAGAATACTTCAAAAAAGAGTAATACATACATACAAAAACATGTTCATGTACATGAAACAAATACTGAAGATAAAAGAGGTGCGATTTTATCAAGTGAATTTTGCATGGCTTTGAAAAAGAGCATCTGCATTTTCAGTATGCACCTGACATACCCCGAAATATGCAAAGCAAAAAAGCAGCAATGTTAATGTGTAAATAAAACCATTCTCAAAATGTGTACATCAAGGTGACAATCCAACTAATTCACACATTATCAACATCAAAGTCTGAACAAATTCAAATATAGAAATGTGAGAAATCAATTGCAGCAACCAGATGCTGGATGATTTGACATCATAAGTGTGAAAAGGGAATATTTAATATCAAGGGTAAAATTTAAATACTTGTGCGTGCTGAACATCTATCACTAGAAGTGTTAAGTACACCTGTGAGTTTTCCTATAGAATGCTTGAAGTAACAGATGTTACTAATTTGGAAGCAACACCTGGCTGCATTGAAAGAAAGTTAATTGTTGATTGGTGTTTGGAGCTTATACTAAAGATCAGGGTTAAGACAGACAGGTGGACATGCAGAGCTAGCCTAGAAGCTAGAATATCCCAAAGGTCAATGCATTCATTCCAATCTGGCACTGTCATCAGGCTCACTATCACCCACTAAAGTCATATCAACTTGATCAATGCCTATTACTCATGACTCTGTGTATACAAGGACTAACGGTGTAGGCATGTGCAACGTTGACATACCGTACATGTACTGCTGTGCGGGCGGGCAGGCAGACGGGCTACACAATAGGACTGCACACAATACGTGTGTTGGCTATGGGGAATGGAAATGAATTTCTAGGCAGATGATGTAATATGCAGTCATGGCAATTGTATTGATGTGGGCCACATAGTTTTCATTATAATCATATAGTACTAAGGTCATTATTAATGAGGGTAATTTATCACCAGTGCAACTCTGATTATACTATAAGACAAGACTATAAATCCACCCATGGATTTGTACACAAATGACATTTAAAACACGGTAGTGGCAATCTTCAAACAATGACTAATCCACTAACAGAAAAATCAGATTTGACTCAATCACAAGTACCAGTATACAATTAGCTACTCCTAACTGTCATTGTACAGATAACATGAGCTCAATCATGGATATAAACAGTGTATTATGCATGTAGGCCTGTGTATTTCAAAATGCCCTTGTTCCAGTACCAAATGTAGTTTAATTTCTCTCACAAAAAAGACACATTACATGGCATGTGCCGTCTAGCTAGTACATGTAGCTACACACTACATTATTCTAGCTTTGTGACTGCCAATATCATGTACATGTTGTGCAAGCCAAGATCAACTTGGCACATGAAACTTGCATCACACCTTCTAAGCCTCACAACTAGGAATCTTTGTACACTACACATAGTCTGTAACATATGCCATTTCCTATACTAACAAACGCCAGGCAGGCACTGCAGGCGGACAGGCATTCATACACAATGACACTGATTCTCTTCCTGAAATTGGTGGAAAGAGGGAAAAACGCATTGTCTTGCACTGGGGCACAAGGGGAAGTCCCATATTAATACTTGTATGTTACATTGCCTAATATGGCCAATTGTCTCAGAAACTCAAATTATTGATTCCCTAGTAAAACTCTTGCATTGTCATTCATAACTCCAGGGGGGTGTTTCACAAAGATCCTAAGTCCAACTTAACTCTAAGTTTGACTTAAATATTATGGAGAGCCATTTGTACCCATAAAATAAAATATATTAAAAAGCAAAAATTTAATTATTTTAGACTTTTCATTAATTCCACATCAAGAACATGTCATCTCCTTGATAAAAGAACATATTAATGATTTGAATTAGCATTTTATGCCTTTTAAAATAACTTTTACAAAATATTTTCAAAGATGCTAATGGCTTTCCATAAATTTTAAGTCCAACTTAGAGATAAGTTCAACTTAGGATCTTTGTGAAACACCCTCCAGAAGTACAAGGTTCGATATCACACATTGATCTAGTTTTGTATTAAATATATATAGGATACTCTCAACATTTCTGGTACTTGTCATTGCATTGTATTTTTCAATTTATGCAACCCTTCTTTCCCTCAAACAGGAAAGAAAATTGTACTAATTCTTCAACATTCATGAGTCATTATATTTATTCTATTTGAATGTGTGAGTAAATCAATTCAAAACACGGCGGATAACGGGTCAATGAGAGAAAACAAACACACTGAACCATATCTTTATGAATAGTGAATCACTTCTGATATTCCTTTCTTTCATTTCTATTTGCTTAGAAATGCATTGATGCAGAGAAGTGCAATCAAACAGACATTGTTCAGAGGCTTGACATTCAATGCACAGACGGAGTATCAATTGGCATTGTGAGTATAGACAACCTTGGCTAGTTTACAAGCCATGAATCAAATATAGTTTGTTACACCCCATAATGTAAAGAAGCAATCAAGTAAACTGTTCACCAAAGAAAGTCTTGGGTTAAGTTAAAAAACTACATGTATGTTGTGGCGATTACACTTCAACAACGCACATTAGTGAAATTTGAAGGAAAGCACAGAAAATTTTTGTTGAAATTGGAATTCAAATACAGTCATTTGGGCGGAGCTTTTTCACATTTCACTGCACAGCAACCATTACAGCTAGAAGACCATTTTAGAGAAAGAGAAATGTTTGTGAATTGTGTCAACATTTATATCCACAGCTCAAAAGCTGATTCACATGTATGTTTAATAGCTTACATACAGTTCAATCAATAACATGGACGGATACTCTTTGAATGCTTTAATCCATCTTGAAGTTTTTGCAGCTTCATGTAAAAGTGTAATTTTGCACATCGTAAGACATTTATAAAGCAAAATCAACATGGAATACATGGAATGTATGTGTATACCCAATTTAACATACAGACATACTATACCATTTCTGCACAATCATCAAACTACACATTTTGTTTTTGGTAAGAGGTAATGCAGTTTGGTTTTGAATGCTTCATTGGAGTTTTATAGATTTCCTCCCCCCAAAAACCTCATAAACACTATTGATTTTGGCACCAATTCTATCACTTAGCAATAATAAGTCATTTGAGAACTACATGTATTATGTGCTGACAAAAGGTAGTTCAACTACATTTGTAAAAGCTCATATTGAGATACATGTAAGGCATCAAATTCAATACAATCTGCAAGGATCAGATGCATAAATGTAACTCCTATCATGACACTGTAAACCATTTGTGGCACTGAGGCAACACACACAGCAAGTTATGGATAGTATTTGACTTGCTCATTTCCTTCCTAAGCAAGTTGTTCCATTTCTTCATATCATACAGCTGAAGAATCACCGCTACAGCTTCTGCAGGCAGGACATGTTTAAGACTAAGTTACTATTTTTGGTAGAACGGTTCGCTGCGATACATCTTGCCTGTCTTTACCAGCTGCACCAGTGGGAGGAAGCTTAGACACTGCAGATGAGCCATGACGCTTATTCTTGGCTGAGGTGGTGTTTGCATGTCCATCTGCAGGTGGCTTTGGTAGACGGCGACGAAGCCAGGAGTGGCGGAGGGCTTGACTTGGAGTCATACGACTTGATGGATCCCATTCGAGACACCGCTTCAGGAAATCCAGGAAGAGCGGGTCATCACACCCTTTCAGTGCTTTCACAAGATCCTTGCTCCCTGGTGGACCACGTACCTTCCCTCTGCGAGATCGCCCTCCGTTGAGTACCGTTGTTCCATCGGGAAGTGTCGTCACCGTACAGTAACGTGGCTGGCCTTTGGAGTTGATGAAGTTCTTAGATCTCTTGGAAGTGTCAATGAGATTTTGGGAGGGCATGCCCATGACTTCAATCATGCAGGCTAACTGATCACCCTCATCTTCACCAGGCAGCAGTGGGTAACCTGTGAGAAGCTCGGCCAAGATGCAGCCTAAGCTCCACATGTCGATGGGCATGCCATACTTTCCTCCGAGGATCACCTCCGGTGCTCTGTAGAAACGGCTCTGGATGTACGTGTAGATTCGTTGATGCTCATAGCAGCTGGAACCAAAATCAATCACTTTGATTCCACTCCTTCCCTGCTGCTTGAGGAGGATGTTCTCAGGCTTAAGATCACAATGAATGATCTTGTTTCGGTGAAGTCCTTCCAGGCACTGAAGAAGCGAATGAGCAAACTTCCTGACAAGTTGCAGACTGAAACCCTGGAACTTATTTTTCTTAATGAGTTCATACAGGTTCATGCTTAGAAGTTCAAATGTGATGCATATGTGATTGCGGAATGAGAAGCTCTCAAACATGTGAATGAGATTCATGTTATTGTCTTTGTCTTGTTTACGCAAGTGTTCTAAGATTCGAATTTCTTCCTGGGCCTGACGATGGAAGCGTTTTTCGTTACGCACCATTTTCACAGCAATATGCTGATTTGTTTTGTGATCATACACTTTCACGACTTGTCCAAAGCTACCTTTTCCGAGGATTTTCAACACTTCGTATCGATATGCGACATGATCATGTTGAACATGAATGTATGATCCTTGATCATCGTCATATCCACAATTGCTCGCTCCACCTATCACACCTTGTCGTTTCTTTGCATTTGGTCCAGTAAAATATATATGAGGATAGTTGAATATTTCATGGTGTTCATATGAAGTGAGTTTGTGCATGTATAATTTCATGCTTTCTTCTGGTGTCATCGGCAAAGCTCTCCCTTTCGCAGATCCATTTTTCGATCCATCACTTGCTGGACGTTTAACATCTGGCAAAGCATTTGCATCATGTGATAAATGACCATTCGCTATCACTTTATTTTGCACTTGCCTTTTAAAATTGTGGTTATCGTCCGTTTCAAAGAGCTGCGTAACTTGCAAACCGGTGGGGACATTTTCGTTGGTTTTCTTCACCGCCCCGATTGTGTGGCTCTTGATCGGGGGCAGCTCGACGTGCGAGCCATGTCCATGGTGTGGGTAGAGCGCCGTGGTAGCTGTGTCTCCCTGCGTTAAAGATCGCGTCCTCGACGCCTGTAAATTAGGCTTTCTTGCAATTGCGTCCACCATCGAGTCAACCATTTCGTTCCTCTTAAAAGAAAGTATGAATTAGCGTTGCATTTCGGGCATAAAATCCATTTTTACAACGTTTTCTTGAGCGATAGTTTTCCTGTGGTGCGGCATTCAATATGGCTGCATAAAGTCCGGGGAAGCGACACCATGGAATGTGCCCTTTGTTGCTATAGAGATGTACTGGAGCTCGCTTGTTTACAACGTCACCATTAGCGTGACGTTTCTTGCCAACTATAGAACACATGATCACAAAGCGCCAATCAAAAAGTCCGTCGAAGCTTATTTGCATAACAAAGTGAAGAAGATTTCACATCTCTTGTTGATGGAGACAAAATCGATACATGCGCTGAAGTAACCATTCTCTTTCATAAAAAGATATCCTGTTGTAGACAAAATTGGAAAATTAAAGCTACTCCACCCGGACATTACCACATTTCAGTAAAAGAAAAGGAAAATCAAATAGGGCCTAGAGGGTCGAGAGTCTATATGGTTGATTCTTTTTCAAACTTATTTCTTTTCGGGGGCCAGGGTTTGAAAAAATAGGATTCCAACTAATGCTATTTGCGAAAGAGTCGAATCTACCATCTTGATTAGCCTTGGCCGCAAAACACACTATATGCAAGAAATTTTGACCGATAGGCCAAATTTTGTTTTTTAAATTACATGGAGCAGATCGAGACCAAAAAAAGAAAAGGTTCACTAAAAGAAGCAAAATAAGTGTCAAGAGTTATTTCAGTATCCTCATTGGACAGCTCTAAAGGCAAATTTTAAGATGACGAATATTAGGCCTACAGGTTGCCGTTTGTTCGAGAGAAATATTGGACGGGTAAAAATGTTTTTGGAAATCCATAATTATTGTACAATTCACCCTTATTTGTAAAGAGTTTCTACTAATCGTCAAAACAGACCACGGTCCCCGCGGAACGTTTTTCAAAGTGATGTATTAACGATCAGCTAGAGCGTAGCGAGCGAAGCGAGTGGAGCGTAAATTTGAGTGGGGTCCAGGGGCGGAGCCCCTGAAGCTCAGGCGATTAATTTTAGGCATTTAATTATGGTCAGACTGTTAACCAATTCAAAACTTGTCTTAAGACACATTTATTCAAAATTGCTTTTGATGATTAACTAACTTTGTTCACATTGATGTATATTTCATATGTTTTGTAACTTTTGTAGTTTTATTATTTTTCTATTATTATTATTATTTTATTATAAGTGTATTTAAATACCTTGTTTGTGACACTGACAGGTCACTAATTGGCCTGGGATCCAGGGGATGAGCCCCTTGAAGCTCAGGGGTGTTCAACCATTTATTCACGATCAGATGAGCATCCAGAGGCCCATCTTAGGGCCCTTGGTGGGGTCCATGGGACAGAGCCACCGGAAGCTCAGGGGTTTTATGTATTTTCCAACAAACGCATACAAAAGTATAATTTACACAAAAATCCCTGAAAATCATGTTATTTCAGCGACATTTGTAAATCACTGGAGGTATCGAATTAGAAATAACCCAAATTTTAATTGTATTGAGGGGAGTGCAACTCCCCCCCCCCCCCCCATCAGTTCGCCAGTGTTCAGGGGCTCATATCTTCTCAAACCCCCCCCCCCCCCCCAACAAAAACAAAAACAAAAAAACGCACGCGCTTTACGCTTTCCCATCCTCTCACAATATTTCCACGATATGCGCGTGTGGCTATTATCAAATTCTACATCTTTAAAATGGGGGCATGCTGAATATTTAGGAATTTTAATTCCTGTTAACTCTCCCTTTTCTTTGAATGGAATATAATTGCTATTGTGATTCGATTATTATTTAGTTTTAATATCTTCTTTTTGGTTAAATATACAAACAATTTTTTTTACTCCTTTACTGCTGTTTTTTCTTGCGGGGGGCGAAAATGCTTACCCCCACCTCTCCACTTCCGACACCCCTGGGCCTACAGTTCGAAAAGACTATTCACCATTAATAATAATGATAATAATAATAATAATAGCCTAATAGTCCACTCCAAATTTTATTAAACCGAAACGGAAATTCTTTTTGCCCAATTGATCGTGAGCCCGGCAGCCACTGAGCAGCGCCAGATCGACGTTGCTCTATCCCTTATTGTTGAACGCCAAACAAGGTAGCAACAACTCCCATCTTTTAACGTCTTTTGGTATGACGCGGCCAGGGTTCGAACCCACGACCTCCCGGTTGTGAGGCGGACGCTCTACTGACTGAGCCAACACTCCGGTATTGAAGAAAATTTGAACACTTTATGACGAAATCTAGAATGAAATAGGTCTACCAATGCCAAATTTACGTGTTTTTAAGATTACTGAAAAACAGTTGTCAGAATAATCATTATTCAGTTGTAAGCCCGAAAGCTAGATTTGTTTTCCATTCTGTGAAGGCAGTGAGGAGGAGGGCACAAGGGGTCACTTTTTCATTTTGAAGGGCACCATTAAAATGTAGCTCAATTGTTTGTCTATGAGGGGCCATACAGCAACCGACTGAAATGTTGACTTTTCAAGCATTAAGAATTGTCTTTCTAATGTATTACAATCATGGGTGTCGATTTGTATCCGTGGTAGGGGGGATGATAGGTGCCACAATAAAATATTTTCGGCAATGGATCAAAGCAACCAAGAGGTAGAAGCATGTGGCAGGTTGCACCCCCTCCCTTCCAAGTTATTAACTTTTCCAAGCCACCCTCAATATGTACAGATAACATTTCAGAGAATATAAGAGTGGTAATAAAATTAATAACATGCTAAATGTTAGTCCTGACTCTTGCCTGCAGTGTAAGCCTTCCAGACTGATATCATCAATTATTAAACGAAATTTAGACATTACCCAAAAAAATCCAATGGTGAGGGATATCAACTTGTGAAAATAATATGTTACCAGTGGGCAAATGCATTAATAAGCAACCGGGAAAGGATCATGTAGACAGAAAATTCTTTATTTCCTGGTGATAGAAGCATACATTTTATGAATATTGATGTCTCCAAACAACATTCATCGTGAAAAATCCATTCCAATATTATGTGCAAGGAGATCAAAAAAAAACATAGTCCTCATTAGTAAATGAAAAACATATTGCTTTGGGTTCTTCATATGACTCTCTTCCTTCTTTAAATAAACCAACTGAATCCTCTCTGCGGGAAACTCAATTCAATGAAACAGAATATCACTGATGCAAAATTTGGTGGAAAAATGACAGTAAATGTCCACTCCTGATCTCATACAAACTGTTTGTTTCTTAAAAACATAATATAAAACTTACGTTCCAACTACCAAACAACAAACTTCCATTTCACCCAGATATACTTATCATACCAGATACGCTCTATATATAAGCATAATATTCCCCTAAGGCCCTGACCAGAGCATTATTTTTTTCTTCAAAACTTAACCAGTCTTAGAAGGTGCATTATTATTGGAAGGGTGTTATAAACAAAACTTCAAACTTAATAACATTCTAACCTTCAAAAACATCTTAACATCATTTGTTCAGGTGTCCATGGAAAATTGTTATTAAAAGATGCATGTGTTCATAATTTCTCTCGTAATTTAGGTTAATAATTTTGTTCAAGGTAAATAAAAGAAAATGTATATCATTATCTCCATTTGCTATCAAAAGATTTTGCTCCTTCCGGAAAATAGCTCTTCAAATGTTTTACATGTAGAGATATAAATAAACAAAGAAATGGATGAAATCAATAAAACAAAATAGATACCGAGTATGAATCAGGGAACAAACTGAAAGTTTCGTCTCCTACATGCTGCCATTCGGACAAAACCGTCTTTCTCTTTAATGATATTACTTTACTTGCATTATAGGGAAAAAACGTATCATCAACCCAACATAGATTTAAAACTCACTTCAGATTGAACTGGCCAAAAGTCATGTGATATTCTTGCTCAGATGCTTTCCTTTACCTTTAAGAGTTCTTTATATTGAGGAATTGGTTGATGTTTTTTTTCTTGGCAATAATGCCCAAATTAAAAGAGTTAAACAAATACACGACTGTAACTTTTAGCGCGTTTTGAAAAATGTTTTAGGAAATATCAGGAAATAAAATGAGTGAAAAAACAAACAAATAAAGATACAATGACGTGAATTTTTTAAAAAGGGTGAACGGAAGCAACATAACAACTAGTATAAGTCATATTTGGCGCACTACATTTCTATGATGCTGTTCATTGAATAAATTGATCAATTCCTGATGAAGCCGTATAAGCGAAAATTCAATTTATTCTTGTCTCATATACGGTTGTCTCATTTACTTCGTTTTCTATTTATATATGTATGTATTATGAAAATGAGATATCAAAATGTGTATATTGATGGTCATTTTGCGAGTAATAACCATTAACTACTCTCATCGGGCTCTCATCATTAATATTTCTCTTCATTTGTTTTTTATATATTTTTTATGGTGGATTATTGGGGGGATGATTGTACAGGCCATCCCCCACCTGAAATATTGGGGGGGGGGGATATATCCCCATCCCCCCTCCCCCCCCCCCGGATCAACACCCATGATTACAATGCTTTCCTCTGGTTTTAAACAAGAAATGTAACACGTGATGTGCTTGCACGTTTTATTGTATCATGAAGGGGTATATAGATAGTTTATTGGTTTCCACGATATCTCATTTACAAGAGTGTAACAACATATTGAAAAATGATTATAATCTACATGTAGATACAGTATCGGAACACACTAATCAGAAGAAGAGAAAATTGTCCTTCAGTTGAACTTAAGGGATATATCTATCCTGCTGACAACAAGTCTTCAATTAGTAATGCGTGACATTTTAATAATTGTCATTCTAATTTTGTTTTAATCTGATATGGTGACTTTCTGATCTCCGTTTCTCTTTTCCATTTTACTCTTACTATAGCAAATTTGTCATAGAAATTTGTTTTATGAAACAGGGCCTCTCTCTCTCTCTCTCTCTCTCTCTCTCTCTCTATCTCTCTCTCTATCTCTCTGTTTTGGTGATTTAACCAGTCTCCTTTCCCATATTGACTTCAAATTCATTATAATATAACAGAAAAAAACAGTCAAATATTCAGCTTAACTATTCAAATTGTCATATCGTTTTGAATTTTATTCAAAAACAGTGCGTTGGTTCATTGATATCAGGTGCATGCCAAATGTCAACAACCTGGTAAAAAAATGTTTGAAGCCATTTTTAAATCTGTTTCAGATACATTACTACTAAGAGAAGACCTTCATAAATAGGAGACACAATTGCTATAAAAATGAAATAAATAAAAAAAAATATATATATGTGTCTTGGACAAGTATATTCAAATTTTACACTGACAGATGTAATTCCATAACTTGAAGTTTTTGGTGCAAAAATCTAGTTATAGCCAGTATACTATTCCACCCAAATAGGATATTGTGCCCTAATTTTAGCTCATTATATATTTTTAATAAATAAAAGATATTTGTTTCTGCAAAAAAGGCAATGTATGTTTGATAATCATGTACATTTGGTTACAATGACACCGACTATTTAGTAATGAACAATAACAGAATGAGCAACTTTGTTGAAATCTTCTATTGGTCTAAGTCTTCAAGTAAAACAGAAAAATTATATCAAGGAAAATCTTGAAATTTGCAGTGATAAAAGCAATTCAACTTCATTTTGAAAACAAAATTAGGTTTGTCATAGCTAATAAAGACATCATGATTGAAACTTAATTGAATGAACACATTGCTTAAGAGCAATTAAAGTCATATATCAATTGTCTATATTTGAATAAAACATTCATCAAATCATAACATATCATTTCAACTACCGTAAACACCACTAAGGAGAGCAATATTAGTGACACATTGGCAATTCAATGAAGGATGATATCTTTTATTATCTAAAATGGCTGAAATTAAGGGGGAAATGAAAGAAAAGGAATCGTCTCATGAAAGTGAGTACATTGATGTGGAGACAGAAGATATATATGGTTTCGAAGTGTTAAAGATAGTGTCAAACGGAATTTCAGACAATAAAACAAATTCAGTTCACACTGTTACAGTATGTAAGATTAAGCAGGACATAACATATGTACATTTTTTGTTGAGGTATCAGTAATGAAATGAAAGTAATAGTGGGTATTCATAGTTTCACTTTCTGAGACAGTTAAAGAAATCTTACAAAAAATTTACTGTGAATACGTTCATTGACGTTCAAGTGATTGAGAACAAATGTATGAAATCACTTGACAGTCTATGATCCACTCCATACAGCTCACATTGCCTTGATTGTTATCCACCCCCTTGCCAAATAAACATGGAAGAGCATATAGTAATCTCCAACAGAATATTAATAGACCGCACAAAATGCACTCTTCAGCCTGCATTACACTGCCATTCACTTCAACACAGTTATTTAAGTTCTGTTCATATCTACAAATTACAATGTCCATCCATAGAAAGGTTAAAAGGATGATATGAGAAGGGCTTAACAGATGACTGAATATCATCACTGTTAAAAAGAATATCAGTGGTTCATTCTAAAGTCTGGCAAATGCAACATTTAAAAGATATGCACAAAACACCACTGCAAAAAAAAAAGGAATTCATGGGCAATTTCAAAAGCCAAGCATTCATTGCCTGTGGAAATGACCTTTCATATATTCCACACAAAATTTCTAAAAACAAATCAAGTGAGGTATTGCAATTGTCTTAGATTCGACTTCATAAAAGCATTCATGATTTTTTTTTTCTTAGCTAGGTATTTTTTGTATCTCCTTCAGGAAAATTAAGTTGCATGGAAACATCTATTGACAATCAGCTAGGATAGCCTACACATAATCTACACTAAGAATTAAAAAGAAGTCCCAAAAGATAATAATACGCAAATTAGTTTACCCAGTTGCATACTCAGTCAAAGGTAGCTTGGGATAATAACTATTGGAATTGCATGTTAAATAAAAATGAGGTCAAACAGGTTAAGCTTAGGAAAGAGAATACAGGAAGGTACGGAAATGATTATTTATAACGATGGATAAAAATATTGTTGAATAAAACAAGGTGACGAGGCCCATAGGGAAGGAGTGTTGAGTAGAGGATGAATCAGTTCTTCCCTGAGTCCTCCTTCAAGGCCACTGTTTTGTTGAAGACCAGCTGTATGAGAGATTAGAATCACAATGGAATATGTTATCAATACCTAGTCAATTACATGTGTAGACATGTGATGCATTTACTGCAATATGCAATCATCCTGAAGTAATTAAAAAAAAACTGAAATATTTGGAAATCTGCTTTCAAATATCTTATTCTAATGACAGTCACAAATTCAATAAGGGAGTATTAATATTACATATTTTTGTGCAACATTACAGTAGAGAAAAATTGATATAGCATGTGAAGTTAAAATGAATCAGAAGGAATACTGTATAACAAAAGCAACTTCTTTCTGAAACATAACAAGGCTTATAAATGATTCTATTAAAAATCACAACCTTTTCGACAGACATGCAAAAAAAAATATTGTGACATTTTTTTTAGCATGTATTGGTATACTATTCAGTTGTATAAACTAAAAATAATGAATGTACATCATCTTGGTACCATAAACACTCAATGATATTGGTATTTAGGGATATTTGAGCTAAAGGGGAGGAGCGTTAGAATACCTTATTAGCTGTGGTATCTGTATCTATGGAGAAGAAGCCAATCCTTTCAAACTGGAATCTATCGTAGATCTTTGCTCCTTTCACTGATTGGTCGATAAGTGTCTCATTCATCACAGTCAAAGTGTCCTTTAGAAATGAAATCAAAGTTAGGGGAAATGAATAAATGTATAGTGGCATAAACTGCTTCATTTACCAAAGACACTGGTATCAGCAAACCCAACAAGTGACAATAAGACATTAACAATCATTGTTTAATTTCTCACACAGACATAACTACTTTACAGAAGTAATGTAATTTCATCATTGATGCTTGCAGTTAATATAAGCAAATCTCATCACTGATTCCGTTAACATTAAATCAGCCTAAATACACAGTTAACATGCAAGGTTTCGGTGATCGAAGGATTTTTATTGAAAATATGATACATGCAACATGTTTATCAAAGTCTCTAAGTTGTCAAATTCAAGAATTAGTAAATTTTCACATTCAGAATTTACAATGATATGTGTGTAAATTGTAAAGGCCGGGTAATATGTCAAAGACACTACTTGTAAAAACTAGAAGTCCCAAAGTCATTTCCTCTCTATAGATATATTTACCTTATTGCAATCTGTGATGAAACCTCCTGGAACTTCTTCTGGGTCCTCAGGGTTCTTATGTCTGAATCTAGAAATTAATAGTCAAATATCTAATATGAACGCAAGAAAAACACAACACCGATTTTGAATAGGTAGTCAGATATCTTATATGACCATAAATAAAAATAACAGCTTTGAATCAAGAAAAAAAGGAGCATTGAGTAGAAGATCCGGGCCATCGTACACAAGAGTTTCAAGTGATTCACAGTGATGAGTAATTCTCAAATTAATTGCAAACTTACATTGCCCATTTCTGATAAACAAGAGTTGTGACTGATTCAGATTATTACAACACAGTATAAGACGGGGTCCTGATATCATACATGAACAGAGATATGGACAATAGATAATATTATCAACTGCAGATTGCCATGTATACATTTCATTATGCAGGGAGAAAATGAGACATGGTTAACTTCAAACGAACCTTAAATACAAACTCTCCTAAAGAACACACACTAGATGAACATAAGTTTGGCTGACCAATCATCAGTTAAATTGAAAAGAAGAACCCAAAGTTACATCTCAAATACAATTGTACGACGCTTGCACTTGCTTCAACAATTCCTCGGCGATCAAATTTTAAAACTTAATAAAATCCGAACCCCACCCCTGGACCAAAGCTTTACCTGATCCCAACCCCTACCTTGACCTTAAACCTATCACACAACCCAATTGCAACCTGGCCTTAACCCTACATTTTTTATGAAATAGCCCTGACCAACTGTTTGATGAAACAATGTTGCCAGAGCAAATGTTACATGTACAAGGCACACTGCACTCAGGAACATGCCATCCTTTGAACTTACAGTCTTTCATAGATGCGGACTTCACATGGGATGGGATTGGACACCCAGTGAATGAATGCCTTGGGTTTACTGGTCTCTTCAAGGTGTGTGATCCTAGCCTTGAGCTCAGTCACTTCTCCCCTGTTATCACACACCACTGATTCCACACTAAGGACATTGCCAGTGTATTTCAGACCAACAGGCTGGGAAGGAGTCAACCGTCTGTAGCCCTTCTCTGCTTTCTGATTTTCAACAGGTAAAAATTACATTACATTATTTCAATGTGCTAATTCATACATCCCCTATGATAAAACTGACATTTCATGTGAACTAGTGATTTTCTGGCTTTCTATTTCAAGAAAAAATATTGCAACTAATAAAGTCAATATATATAGTATTGTATAGTTTGCATTCGATCCCTTTATTCATTGTGACAAATCACTTTCAAACATAAACAAGATGAAAAGCTTTTAAAATTTCAAAATTATTGCTAGTTTCTGAAAAAGGTTCCTGATATAACTACCGGTAACACTTTGTTTCATGTAATGTTCTATAATCATCTGTTATTGTTGTTTCTGTAAGAAATAACCAAAATAAAGTTGATGGTACAAAAAGTGACAAATATTAGACAGTGACTATGCCAAGTAATGTCTAAAACAACCAGTTCCAATTATTTATAAAACTTTAACAAATACGGAGTGATATCCGTTCTACTAAACTTTACTGAACACATCTATGTGCTGTAAGACTCACACAAATATGAAGTGCAACATAAAATTGAATCTTTTTATTTTGCCACAGCTGTTTTCTTGAAGCATTTTCCCACTACATGCTACATGCCTTAATGGGCCTTGCTTGGACTGTCACAAATGGCAGAGATGTAGGGGCTGGATTCTTACCTGTTGGAAGTCTGATCGCTCGATGTAGATCACAGAAGAGAACGGGATGGAGTGAGTTCCTTGAGAGGGATCATGTGGGATGTTGGGTACATCCAGTAAGCGAGCCTGCAAGTAAACAAAGGAGAATGCATGAATTTGTTAAGGCATGTGTTAGGTCGGGGCAATCAACTCATATTGGCCCTTCCACAACTCTGGTTTACATTAATATATAAAGAAAATCAAGACGATTTGGTTACCTTCGATCCGTTTATTACTCTCAACTCGAGCAACAACTTGAGTTCGCATATCAATCATCCTCTCATTTGCATATATTCGTTACACATGTCAAACTCCACAAAATAAAGTGAATGGTATGTCTTTTGAATTACCAGTACATTTATATGGATTTATAGAAGAGTCATAAGTTACTTTGCAGATATTAAGCTAGATTAATTAATCCCCAATATCCTTTTTCTTTCTACCTATGTGACATCTGACTATCATGAATACATGTAATAAGTTTGAGAATGTTTTACATAAGATTTAACATCAAATGGGTAATTCTCACATTTGCGCTTTTATTTATCATAGTTTGATGGTATAATGTTGCATTTGCTACAGAGAAGCAAGGTCAGTCACTTTGATCACAGAATGTGAGAAACTAAAATAGCGAGACATGTTCAAGTATTATCTTAACCCCAGTTTATGCCTCCAAAGGACATCAAGTCCTTTCCTCGTTTCCAATTGGAGAGCAATATCATGCTTATATAGACTTAGTTCTGATAATTGTAGTCCACTGTGGAGGCTTAAACCATCATTTGAACCCAAGTTAAGATAACCTTCTTCAGTAAGTTCTGGTCTTTGAGTCTTGCAATGCTAATGTAACAGCATTTCAGTGAGTGCATACCTTGGCATCAGGGAAGTTTGATATGGTGACTTTGATGGGATCAAGAACAGCCATCACCCTCTTAGCAGTGTTGTTCAGAACCTCCCTCACACAGGCCTCCAGCATACTGGGGTCAAAGGCCACCTTCGACATGGTCACTCCAATCTACAGAACAAGCAGATAAATATCAAAGATAAGTAACAAGTAGATGCGTATAATTGCGTCTTCTCTGATATTTCTTGAAATAAAACTGTTTCATATTGTAACACCCAATCTCCTCTTTAAAGAAACCAACTACATCATGGAATGTAAATAGTACATCTCTGTGTCTACTACAGGATTAAAGTGGACTTGATGCTCTAGGAAAGCAATGGTTTACCTCTGCAGGAAAGCTATTGGTATTAAAGAGATAAACAGTCAAGTTGTGCAATTAGCATTATAGATTTAAAGAACATTTGTGCATACCGTTCTCAGATGCACATTTTATCACCTTATACATAACTCTATTGTATGAAGAAAAACAAAATTGGAAATAGGAAAACACAAAAAGGTGTTTGACAAATGTCTTTTGTTCTTAGTCATGCATCACAACTTCAAACATTCAACAGTTAAAATCTATGAATAGATGGTCAAACTCATGATAAGAATCTGGTTTTAACACCCCCCCCCCAAAAAAAAAAAAAAAAAAATACCAAAAAAAATACCAAAAAAAAATACAAAAAATACAAAAATACAAAAAAAAAAAAAGTCCAATGACAAACCACTTACCTTTGCACAGAACATATTGATAGCTTCAGGTGGGAAGCCTCTGCGTTTGAGTGCTGTGAGGGTGAACAACCTTGGATCATCCCAGTCTCTGGAAAAACAACCAAGGAAATCAGAATACACAGTTAATTGCATTCCTTTAAACCAATGAATTTGTCTACTCATCTAATGTCCAAGGTGATAATAAAACCTTGTACTTCTATTCAATGATGCACATCTTGAAATCGTATATTGCATAATATTTACAAGTGAATGCATTTCATGGAAATATGTGACAAAAAATTTGTTGATCTACAAAATAATAATGATTTTTTTTTTTTAAGTCAATATGAAAAAGCTCACTCATTCGGCCTCTTAATCAATCTTCTAGTGTCTGAAAGAAAATTTTGGCTGAAGTTAGAGAATGGTGAAACCAACCTGACAATGCCGGCTGAAATAAGCTTGCCAATCTTCCTCTTAGAGACGACAGTATAGTGCATGTTAAGCCGACCATACTCCCACTGTACAGGGCAGTACAAATCCACAGCGTTGCATAACCAGTAGTAGGAAGAGCGTCTGAAAGGAATGCAACACATAAACAGAGCTCAATATTGAAAAGCACTGGGCTGACAGAATTCAATTTGACAACTTCCATATGCCTCATTCGAACATGACACCACAAATTGCCTTAAAAATTACATCATGGCAAATAAATTATCGTAATGCTCTTTAAATTTCTGTATATAATCATCCACATATTTGTTACTTAGCTTTAGGGACTTTGTTACACAATTAGTTTGTTTCATCCATCCTTGCCATATATTTACACATAATAATACAAATTTACAAAAACAAATATAGAGAGATAATAAACATTATTAACCAGACTATAAGGTAACGGACAGCTCAAATATTTTTCAATATTCCAACATTTATCGGCTCTTTCAAAATGAAGTTGCCCAAGGAGAGAGCTACTCGATCTGATTGTAAAGAGGATCTTACCTGGACTGAAACTCCTTAGTGCATAGTGAATGGGTGATGTGCTCAATAGAGTCGCATAGACAATGGGTGTAGTCGTATGTTGGGTATATACACCTGTCAGAAGGCAACGGATGATAAATCAATGATATCAAAAGGTATAGATGACCAAACAGCTTTAAAAAGAATTCTGCCATGTTTGCCTGGGGTAAAAAGCTATTGATAAATGTTTTTGACCCGTTCCCTGGACTGCTTTCATCTCTCACAGGTGGAATCATTGGACGGATGGTTCAGAGTAATGCATTACAAAGCAATAAAGAATGAATGAACTGATAGAAACATAGCAAGACCTATTAAATGTCCATAGTGTAATTGCACAATAAATTTTCAAGATTTAAGAGGATAATTTCCTCTTAAACAGAATTCTGTAGAGATTAAGTCAAAATTCCTAATGAAATTGCTCAAGCATGTCCAGGGTATCATCGTTAGCCAGAGAGAGAGAGAGAGAAAGAGAGAAAGAGAGAGAGAGAGAAAGAGATGAATGAGGGAAAAAAGAATTATGTTTCAGTTCAACAACATTTACTGAATTTCACAAAATATTTCAAACATGGCTTTCACAATTATAATACATAATAATTTTGTTAAAAACTATGAGAACCTTTCATATGATTAAACATCCATAGAGTACTAACCATTGGTCTTTGGACCTGTGATGGGGAGTATACTTGATACGGTAAGCCACTGGATCCTTCTTACCCTCCTCTAGAGTAGTCTTCATACGCAGTGTTACCTCTCCCTCTTCAAACTTGCCTTTCTTCATATCCTGGTGAAATAATAAATAAATACTTTGGAACTGATACCTTAGCTTCTTAGTATTCTCCCCCCCCCCCCATGTAATTATTTAGATCCCTATTTTATCTTCATGTTTCTTTTTATCAACCAAACTTGTGGTTTAAAAACAAATCCAATTCTGATACCAATGTTAAATACATAAATTTGATTGGATTTTGCTACTTTTGTTTGTCTCAGTCTCATAGATGACCAAAGGTTAGTAAATGATTAAACTTTATGAATGGAAGACTGGACAAGGATAGAAATGCTGTACACCTAAATGGAGAGTTTTATGACTGAAGTCAATGCGTGATATGGACTGGAATGTTGAACAAAATGGGGAAAACATAATTTGCTTTCCCCTTATGCGTGCATTTTCTGTTAAAGAATATAAGGTGATCTTTTTTTAAAGTACCCCATCTTTATTAACTAATTTTCTTACTTTGCATTTCTAGCAACATAATAAAATATATATACAAATGATAACATATGGGTTGACTTGTCCTATTTGCTTTGTTTGCGAAGTAGAGAACATAGTGTGAAATTATGATGCAAGCAAAGGATGATGAAGGATATCTCATTATGTGTTTGTCCTCATCAGACTTCTTCAGAAATCAATTATGTTTAAGTCAGATCATGTACTTAAATTATTGCATATTTTAAATTACACGAATAACACATATGATTTGGGTGAAATTTGAATGAAATACATTGTTTAATCAGAAAACTCAACCTCTTATAATTTCACTATTTCTATTGATCCTAGCTATAAACTAACACATGGGGATACTTCTACTTCTACGACGATACTCAGCAGGATCCATAAGTCAGGATGTAGTGCTGAGGATATAATCAAACTTACCTCAAAGAGTCTAAGGCTTTCTTCTATTGGTCTATCCCTCCATGGTGAATCTTGTACATTGAAGCCTTTCAAGTCCTCTGACTTCATATGACACGCATACGCAAGATTGCTACAAAATGAACAAGATAATATTACAGCAATGGAATTTGAACTGAATAAAATACAAACAATGAAATGAACAATACAAAAAACAGCACAGAAGGATTGCATATGACATGAAATCTTATTAGCTGCAATATTTAATGTACTGACATCCCAATTGAATGATTGAAATATTGCTGTGGACTTCTGAACTGAATGCAAACGGGAAATGAAACTATTGATGCAGCCATCTTTTAAAATAATAATTCCTGTCTATCTCAATTTTCTTTTTTTAATGAAATTCACCATTAATCTTCCAAACATGAATTTCAATCAAAAGCTATATCTTTGTCATTTAAACATATCAAACAATCACTTGATTCATGAAAGTCATTTACTATTAATATAAATTCATTTATTCCAAGATGAAGGGAAAGAACTGCTTCAGTTCAAATGCATCCACTAAATATACAGCCACTAAAGGTCACAAACTTGTTCTAAGTTGGACCAAGATTTAGCCTTTAAAGGAAATTTCATTGATCTCATTGAATTTACATAATATGACCCATATTAAGGAAAGTGAGGATAGTTGATTAATCCTTCATTAAGGCCCACACAAGAGGCTTTTGTCTGCCTATGAGTCAACCCAGTGACAATGAACAGGATGTTAATAGAAATCCCATCCTGAGGCATACAATGCATCACATACATACAAGACACAGGCCCTTCTGTCTACAGGGGGTTTGGTTATCTTACATCCTTGTTACCTACAGGATAACTACAGGACAGGATACTTCCTTGTTGGTGGGAATGATCAACAAAGGACTTCCCGTGTTCAACGTTTCATTTTCATTAATTTCCTAAATTAACACAAGTACCCTACAGGAAATAGGGATTTGTAACAAGCTCTAAACCTGGTAATGGGAGTACAAGACAAAAAGCGCTTCTTTCCTCAGGCATGCTTGGTGATCAAAGCATGGACCTATCCATGATCAAAGCCAGGCATCATGTTGCCTACACAACGACTTTGTGACAGGATACACATCTTGATGTGCATGATACCCAAAGGACTTATCCCGCATTCCAGGTTCAGCCCATATCCATAATATTCATTCCCTTGACCAGTTGCTGCGAACGCACCTTGTAATTCATGAATAATATTCTACACGGGCTCGGTTGAGAGTCGGTCAAATGAGGTGCACATCATACTATTTCTAATTCCTTGTATGTTTGATCTCATTTTATAATTATATATACATCATTTTTTGAAAAAAGAACAGATTTATAATTTGTGTGATCATTATAAGTTTTGGTTGGTAACTTGTAGACAGACAATAGTGCGCTTTAAAACAACCGTATTAAGTGCCTTATAAATGTTGTGTATTTACTTTTTAGCCTAGTTTTCATTAAATTTGCAAGTCAATGAAAAGTATCCCTGCAGGATATGGGGTATCTGATAAGCCTTACAATCATAAAATGCTGTTACATACAAATAATTGGTGTTTTTTCAATAGAATTATTAAATCATGTTCTATATGAGATGACAGACAGGGCTCTGTCTCATGTAGGGTTGATATTAAGCAAATTTGATTTCATATCCTCCAAATAGTCTTGACTTCATATACATTAATCCTCTATTCCCTATTTTCTTATAAAATATTTCCATCTGTAGAGCCATCCTTTGCATCTCATGTCACATGCAACCCATCAAATTCAATATAAAAGTCTAATTCACATGTATGCAGTGAACTACCTAAGAAAGAGGGTGCAGCAAAATGAAATGACATGAGAGTATTGCGGCACACTCTTCTATTTTTGCAACACTTTGGATCCTTTGCTGTGCTCAAGTACTTAATTTCACCCTACTTGCCACTTTGTTTTCAGGCAGTTTACTGCATCTTGCCTGAACAAGGTTGAAGAATAGCTTGAGATCAGGCCTAAAAAAAAAGATGTTGTATTGCCCTTTGCGACCGACCCAAAAATCTTGAAATCTAGAAAAAAATTATATTAAAGCATTCAAACTGAGAAATATCAGCCCACAGAGGGAGAAAAAGAAAGAAAACAAAATGAAAAAAATTATATATTTCCGACCGACCAACCCATGTTTCGGCACCTAAAGGGCAATACAATATCTTTTTTCCATAGGCCTCAGTAAACATCCGTACCTTTTGATGAGCTCCACAGCCAGCTCATAGAGATTCTGGAAGTAGTCTGATGCATGCGTGACCTTGTAGGGTGTGTAACCGAGCCAGGTCACCATGTCGTAGATGGCCGTGAAGAACTTCTCCTCTTCCTTCTCGGGGTTGGTGTCATCGTAGCGCAGGAAAGTGATGCCTCCCATGGCCTTCGGAATCCAAACAAGAAGTCAACCAGAAATAGTTAAGGTTTCCAAATACATTGTGCAATACATCCCTCATAAGTCATTTGTGATAAGTGAGATACTTGTCAATACCCAAGAGATTGGGAGTTATCACCTTAAATCCAGAAACATATGTGCATGAAATATTCACAAATTTTACCAGAGTTAAGATTCATAAAAGTATCATACCATGAATAATCAAATAACAACCGACATAACGCTGAATTTTTGTCATATTGAAAGTTTCTTGCTGTTGTTTACAATTCAGAAAAGTGTCATGTCATAAAAGTTTCTTGTTATAGATTAATAGAGTTTTTTCATCCAATCACATCATCAGCTATATGGCCATTCATAACACTGTCCAATGCTAACACAGCAATACGTACATGTCATTAGATCAAGGAATGACTGACGAAGAGAAACCGACTCCATAATTTGATAGAAAGAGAGAGGTGAGAGAGAAATAGGGAAAATGTAGTAAAGAAATATAAATATATACATATTTTTCTTACCCTTGCATAACCGAAGTTGAAGTTGATGGCCTTTGCGTGTCCAATGTGAAGAATACCATTGGGTTCTGGAGGAAAGCGAGTGCGAACCTAGAAAAAAATATGACAAAGTTATCATGATGACCTCTCATATCTTGTTAAAAATCTCTGAAGTAAAATGCATTGAATACAGCATATGATGACGGGTTGCTCTTGATAGGACTGCTGAATGACTTAGTTCACTTTTATATGCAATGGATACATAGACAGTACAGGAACAGCAATGTGATATCATGAACACTGATGTGAATGTCTGAGTGATACTAAAACGCTTTATATGACAATCAGATTCCCACGATCCACATTTTAGGCAAATGTGTACTTCCTCAAATATTGTTTTAAATCTCTATGAATAATTCCTAATGGTTGTCAGCCTTCTCAATATAAAGTTGTTTATCCTTCATCAAAATGGAACGGAAAGGTCTTGCAGCAACCTGAGAGGATCAATTCTGCATTGACATATTCATTACCCTTGTTACCATTTCTTGGAAAATTTGCTCTGGGTATCTTTTGCCTGTAATTCCCTGCATTTTGGGATTTGAACCAATCAACCAAGGATAATATGCACAGGGCAAGAACCCTACAAGTTGACAGCTTTGCCGTTTTCATTCCTACTCAAAATGGATTTAGTCAGGTTGTAAAGTTTCAAGTAGGCATTCGTGCTTCCTAACATTTCAAACTTGAAAATGATGACTATACCTGGCCTCCGGTGAGTTTCAAGTGCTGTTGAAGTAGTTCCATGGTCTTGGATGTGATGACATAGCCATCGGTCTTGTAATTATCACCTGGTGGGCAAAATCATGTAAATATATTGCAGGTTAAAAGATGCAGAGCCGACATTCAATCCAGCAACATTTATACCGGCTGAACATGGCGATAGGTCTGTTATTTGGATTTTCAGTTAGGATTGTGGTTAGGATTATGTATAGTGTCGAGTCCAGGGTTGAAGTTTGGACTGTGGTTAGCACAGGGAATGGACTATGGAGCAACTTTTGGTGGAGCCATGTTGAAGAACCTGTTACACTAAGTTGCATCATTTTTCTGCTTAAAACTTCACAGTAAGAATGTCTCGTACAGATGTTTTCGGGGGTAACTTCTTATTACTATGAACATATATTCTTCTAATGAATATAGCTTCTTTTCTTTTTCATGATAATTTTTTTAACCATAATAATTAACTACGGAATACACAATATCATCTTATTCTCTGCAAATATTTCAGTACATAAATGTACAGACTGATATTCATACAATTTAATTTCAGTGTTTGATCATAAATTCTGATTTTTCATCAATTTTCTGTTCTTTGATGAAACCAAGATTTCAAGGAACACCACAAGGATCAGTCAACAAGAGAAGATTTAAGATGTTCTCCTAAGGAGCAGAAATGCCTAGAAAGTAACCCACCTGGCTTGTGAAACCTGACAGCATCACCCATCAGCTGACTGATGGAGGAGAATGACTTAGGTTCAGCTGGAGATTCTAAATCCTTCTCAGGTTCAGACTTTCTCTGTTCCTCTTTGGACTTCTTGGCTGATTTGCCTTTGGCTTCACCACCAGATTTTTCTTTCTTTCCATCCTACATAGGAGTAAAGAGATTTTAAAGCCCCACTGCACTACTTATAGCTACTTGCACCCTCTATATAGCAAACAATGCCTAATTGGTGACTGCTGGTCCCCCATGATCCCCTTTTTCTTATGTTAATTGAGAGCTGATTCGATGAGATAACCACCTGTCAGTGACCACGCTGGGTGGTCTAATTTTTGCCAAACTAGTGCAGACCGGCTTTAATCAATGAAAATAATCACAAAATTATTTTAAGGCTGGTCACATATCACTCATTAGGTACCGGACCTGAGAAAATGATGGTGAAAGCTATTAGCATAGATAAGTGAACATCACTTAATTCATTGTTATCATTATCATCTTATATTTTCTACATAGACTCAAGTTTATTGTTATCATTATTGTTGATGCATGACCAGGCCTTTAATCTTATGAAATAAGGATAGGCAATTAGTTTTCATTATAAATAAATTTTACCTCTTTGATAAGGTATACATGTTCAACTATTACATCTCTTGTATTTTTTAGTTCTTCACCCATATTCATATTTTGAATTTTGAAATAGATTTTGTTAACATACACATCATGTACATCAGTTGTTCAGAATGTCGGTTCTCCTTTCCTTGAAAATGGAACCTTTCAAGGACTAAATAACAAAGGGCAACAAGCCACTGCCCTAAGGGTATTTTAAACATCATAACATGAGAAACCCCTTGTTCAGCAGTTTCTAAGCAACTTCAAGAAATCTAAATTGTTTTTTTGGTCATTACCTTGCTTGGTTTCACCATGTCTGCCTCTGTTTTTGGTCCAAGAAGAATGGTTACTTGCATGTCCATCTCTGTCTTGATGGCCTTGCCATCAGCCCACTTTAGCTTCTGACGAACTTCACCTGAAATAAACAAACACACATGATATGAAATGAAGGCTCCTTCACATAGGGTATAGTAAGTGCAAGGTTCGACAGGGGCCAGGTTCACATAGACAACACCCCCCCCCCCCCCACACTATTTTACTCCTGACCCCCAAAGTGTCAAAATATTTTACAAGTGCAAGGTGCACATGTCACTGACCCCAAATATTTCACTACAGGGCCCTGTATTAGAAAGAGTTGCGATTGATTCAAATCAATCTGACTTAAACTTAATCAGAACTGTTTACTTAGAGCCTATCTGCACTGGTTTGGCCAGGATGGATTACATCTCCCTGCAAGGTCACTAGCAGGTGGTTATCTCATCAAATCAGCTCTCAATTAACATAAGAAAAAGGGGACCATGGGCAATTAAAGGGTACCGCTTAGGTATTGTTGGGTGAATAGAGGGCGCAAGTAGCTACATGTAGTGCAGTGGGGCTTTAAAAATCTCTTTACTCTTTAAGAGACAGGAGTTGCGATTAATTTCAAGTTGTGATTGATTTCAATCAATCGCAACTCTCAATAAGACAAGGCCCATAATTATTTGTCTGTTCTTTCTGATAACCTTAATCAATAACAACAATAAATGACAGTGTCACTTATGTTTGAGATGTTTGCTATCACGAATGTCTGATTGTATAAGGTCACCTTTCAATTTTTCAAGCGCTGATCACAATAATGACATTTTAATAACTTTCAACCTAAACAACTATGTCCTACTTGGATATTTGACAAATAATGTATGAGTTTCTTAATCTCTGGAGCGTACACAACAATAAAGTCTCATGCTTCAAATGAAATCTGAAATATGATATACTTAGGGAAACATGAAGATTTGTAACAAAAGCCCTTAAGTGATGTGTACTCACTTGTCTATGAGTTAAAGGATACAGAAATGTGAAGTGCTAAGCTCATGTTATTTTATTTTTATTTTTCAATTTGGTTTACAGCAACCATTGTGAATGAGGCCTTAGGGTGGAGGAATAAGGTTGGATTAATTCAAAGAAAATTTAAGAATAAGAAGATTATCAAGAAAATGACTTACTGATAACCGGACCCATGTTGTAATGATACCTCTTCTCCATAAGTCCTTCTTTGTGATTGCCAATGGCTTGTTCCACCTATGACACAAAGGGTTTGAATGGTGTGAGAGACAGACGGATGGGGAGGAGTGGATATGAGCAGAGTGCCGGGTGAGGAAAAGGGAAGGATGAATGCAAGCATTACATTTAGGGCTTCCCAAATGAGTAGAACAATGTACCCGAAGCTTTCAAATGATATCACATGAAAACATCTTTACATTCATATGATTTTTAAATCATTGACAAAAATACAATTGAAAGGGTAACTTTTGAAAAGTGAACATCTCATTTTGCCTATTTCACCAAGATATCAATGGCAACAGTAAACATTTTGCATGACAGTATAAAGCTTTTACAACAATCACAGAAGAAACTGGCAGTATGTTGTTTATTATCGTCACATACTACATTTTTTGAGCTAGGACTGTGCAACGTATTTGTTCAAAAGTCCTCCTGTGACTGGGGAATTGCAAGTGGCACAAACCCTTATTGGTCTTTATCAATAATTCCAAGTATGATTTGTCTACTCAAACACAAACCCATTTGTCACCAACAAATATTATGGTGGCTAAAGCTCAATTCAAAATCATTCTCAAGACCTTTTTGTTTTGTTTCGTTTGTTTGTCTGTTTTTTTTTGCTTTTTTTTAGTTTGTTTCGTGTGTTTTTTTGTCCAAAGAAAACTTTTGTGACTATCTTTAAAGTTTAAATTTGTAAGCGTTTATTAAAACAATTAAATTGTAACAATTTCAAAACGTTTTTGACAGATTCCTGCACGCGAATTGGGCTCTGCTTCTCATGACACAAAACAATGAATGTATGTATAGAAATGAGCTGCCTACCTCATCCTCAATATCCTCTGGGTCTACGACTACTCCTACTCCACAAGCCTTCTCTAACTCAGCTACATTGATAGGGTCCAATGGATGAGACTTCAGATACTCTAAGGCAGCTGTAATGAGAACCACATAAATAACATCAAACATGGTGCAGACAGTAACATCTAAAACACAAAGAGTATAAGTTATGGAAACAGAACAGTGTTCGAAGAGACATTTTATATAACCTATAATCCTACAGTTTTGGGTGTGCGTATTTTCATCTGCAGGATTATGAACTCCTTTCTTATTTGTTTTTCTCTCTCCTTGACCTTATTATCCTTATATGGTAATCAATTAGTCAATGCAAAAAGAAATAACGGTCTCAGTCTGGGTGTATTCAATTCCTTATTAAACATATATTTATTAACAGAAAAAAAAGATTAAATAGTGTTTTAATTGTCAATGCCTTACTGATAATCCTGCCCCCTCCCCCATTAAAAAGGAGATCACAGCTAGCAAAAAATTGTGATTTTAAAGTAAATTTTGCTATGAAACCAACCTGTGAGCTGCGGTTCTGAGTTGATCTTTTTGGAGGTAATGTAGCCGATGATGAAATCTGTTCTCTTCTTATCCTTTAGCCTGGTGCTAACATGGTATAGTAGATTACCAACAGTCTTGTCTAATTCTCCTCCGCCGTTGGCTTGCTTGGCCTGAGAATAAATATGAAGTATGAAAATATTCTAGTCTTTAGTCTTTTATCAAAAAATTATAACGAAAGTAATAACAAATAATGAAGAATAGAAACTCAGGCAAATAATTAGATCAAATCCATATCCTTTATTGAATCATATAAAATAACAAAGAAAACAATGCTTACCTCACAAATTAGACAGAAATAACTTTCTGATATATACATGTACATGTATGTCAACCTTCCTCATACACAGACAGCAACCCTTGCCCCACGCACATGGGGGTGGGGGATTAAATAGCCAAATTTCACCAGAATCGGGAGAAAGTTTCCCTTCAGTATTTACAAGGATTTACTTTCAGCAATTAATTGCTTTCAGTCTGCTCACAATATCTTTTTTCTTCATATTGAGTGGAATGCAGCAAAATGCAAAGAATCTGGGCTAAATCGGACCTTGGGCGAACTCGGCCTCGCTGTAAGAACAATCATTTTGTGGTCATTTTACCCTAACCCTTCACCTAAACCTGCAAAAACTGACCGTTTTTACACCGTTTTTACACCGTTTTTACAGCGAGGCCGAGTTGGCATGATCCGAAAGCAAATGTGTACACATGCAACTACAAATAGACCTACAATGCAAGTATGATTTTAAAAATATCAAAATCTAAAAAATTTGATGACTGCAGTCTAAAAGGATTGACATGCCATGAAAACTGCAGAATGTTTCCCTCCAGCTCCACGATCCCGTACACTGTCCATGGCTCATCAGTTAAAAGAGTGGCCATTTGGGACAACAAACTTCAATTGTCATTTTCTTATCTCGACTTGTTCTTGCATCATAATATTCAGATTGGGGTGAAGTTTCATCATACACCTATTATTAAATCTAATACCTAACAGGTTAAACAAGCAGTTTAATGTTCATGCATATATAGAAAGAATAGATCAAATAGAGAAACAAAAATCAAAATACAAAAATGATGCAACAAAATTGCCAACTGCAAGTGTAAAACAAAATATACTGTGCACAGACTAAACACAATGCATATATATTATGAACGTGCTGCCGCAAGTCTCTGAATGCGGAGTGTTCGTTTCTTGGAAATACATTTTCATCCAAAACATTTACCTTTTCAATGTTGTTCTTAAACTCTTTCGCCAAAATTTCATTTTTAGCTGTTTCCTTTGCCTTTTGAGCACTTAAGCCAGCAGCAACAAAGAGATTTATCAACGCATCTGCCATTCTGATCGTTAAAAGCGTAGCACACGATCACTCATAATCAGCAATCTTCGACGAGAAAGAAACAACACGTTTGTACATTCAAAAATGAACTCCTTTCTCAATAGCGTAACTGTGTACGCCCAGCGGGCATGTATTTTAAAGATAAGAGCACAGTCTCCATCTAAGGGTGGAGCCACCATACCTCTATGGGAGCCACTGATCTTTTAATTACCTACGTAGACAGTATTAGTGGGTGGGGCCGGGGTTGGGCCCTTTGCGCGTGAATGTTGACCATGGGATGGGATGAAGTCATGGATCAAAAGCCAATTAAAGCCGGTGGTGGGGGGGGGGGGGGGGGCGTAGGGGAAGAAGAGGTAGCCTATAGGCAGTTGACATCACGAGACATGGGTGGGGGAGGCAAGGGCCTTTTGCCCCCCCCCCCACCGATCCACAACTTGTTGGCGGGAAAACGGATATCCTCCTTCTTTTCTTTTCTTCTTCCTCTTTTTTTTCCTTCCCTTTATCTCCTCTTTTCCTTTTTTTTCTTCCTTTCCCTTTCCTTCCCTTTTTGTGATTGGAGGGGGAGGCAACAGCCTGGGAGACAATTAGGCCCTTCCCCCCTCCCCCCGATCTCCTTCTTCCCCCTTTTCCAGTTTCTTCTTCCTCTTCTTTCTTTCTCTCCTCTTTCCCCTGCCCCTTCTTTTCCTTCTCTCTCTGTCGCTTCTCTGTCGCTTCTCGGCCCCCCTGCATCCGCGCCTGGTATGGCCGCCGCATAGCCCGCCTGTCAGCAAATATTATTGAGGCTAAGCATTGAATACATCAGGGGGAAAACACGGATGGACCTCATCGGGAGATTAGAAAAGGAGCCGAATTTGTGCACAAAATCCAAGAGTTACAAGAGTTTTTAAGTTAGTCAGGTTGAGTGCGATTTTTAGCCTGCTTGCTTTAGATACCCCTAAAGGGCCCCACCCCTTTTTTTGTTTACATAAGAAAGGTGCCAACTTTTCAAATTTGTAGAGGTGCTCATTTTACTTTAACAAGTGCCCTTTTCTTTTGTAATAAGTGCCCCTTACCCTTCTGATAAGTGCAGTATCTTAGATACTGATCTTGTAATGTTAATTGTTATTGTATAATTGTTTCGATTGGGGGCACGCTACAAGAGCCCTATCTCGCACCCGGGGCAACGTGTCTGACACGGCCGGTTGTAGCAACTACTCCGAAGATCAACGAGTATCTTAGATCATGTATATGATTTCATAACTTCGCATTACCTAAGGGTCAAACGAATAATATTATGAAATAAGGAGTTTAAGTTATAGAGGGGCGAAATGCTGAAACACTTGAACTGAAAACCATAGAGAAAAAAATGTTTTTAAAAAAACACATCATGTCACCACCTAGATTATACACGATGCGGGGGTGGGGGGGGGGGGCTGACCCTTGGGACCATTATTCATAGGGACCACTATTCATAGAAGAGGTCATCTAACTACAGTCATCTAATCAAAGAAGAGGACCGGGGAAGAGGGTGCTATTCACAATATGAGAAGACGGTTGCTATTCATAATACACAGTCGGGGTCTTTATTAATAGGGGTCCCTATTTATAACACAAAAAGAGGGTCGCTATTCACAATACGACCCCTGTATAAATTATGAATACCCCCCTTCCTTTTATGCATATAGACCCCCTTTGCGTTTTATGAAAAGCGGTCCTTAACGCATAGTTTCGTGTTATGAATACCGGTAAGGGTCTTTATGAATAGCGGTCCTCACGAATAGCGGTCCTTACGAATAGCGGTCCGTATGACCAGCGAGGTTACCCTGTACCAGGCGTATACTTGGATTATTTAATAAAAATACCACTACAAAAATTTGAATTAAATGCTCTTAAAATTGTTACTACTGAAGTTGAATAACATAACGAGTTACTTTAACATATCCATAGACCTATGTTGAAAGGGTCACATCGTGTGACCACGCCTATATAAAATGATATATTACATATATCATAATTTTCTTGGCATTTCTTTCAATGATTTCTCACTAAACACATCAGTAAAATCACATTGCGTGACTGTTAATGTTGGAAAGGAATAAACTTTTTTGTAATTCCTGGAAGAGAAGGAAATAAAATACCAGAAATTTACGCCATACGACTTTTAATACCAATTGCAATTTGTTAACATGAAAAACGAATTGTTTCCTTCTTTTTAGTGGGAAACAAGTTTCAGTTTCAGCTTATTGATTCCATATTTCACACGTCGATACAAATATTACAATATGTAACGATTCTTTGTAAATTATAATCACACTAAAAGAACTAGAAACATGTTACAAATTCAGTTATTGATCGAGTTATTTGAAGAGGGTGTATGGCATGGCAAATACTGGTTAAGCCATGTCCCATTTCAAAACTACATTTAATGCTTGTTTGCACTAGTTCGGCCTGGGGGGATTAGACCTCCCTGCAAGGTCACTGACAGGTGGTTATCTCATCAAATATGCTCTCAGTATTATTAAGAAAAGAAAAAGGGATCATGGGGGACCAACAGGCACCGATTAATAATTGTTTGCTGTATATAGGGCGCAAGTAGCTATAGGTAGTGCAGTTGGGCTTTAAGAGTCCCGTATTGCCAGGTTTAAAAAGTTTTTTTTATATTTCCAATTTTACTTTCCTCGTTTTATTCACTTTCTACAGTCCCATTCTATCATTTCCAGTCTGTAAACAACTAAGCTGGGAGTCGTCAGCTCCCAAACCTGTTTTTTCTTTTTAATTCGATACAAGACGATTCACAAATGTTGTTTAATGATTTTCCCGATTTTTTTCTCTTAGTTCATTTGGAAATAATACTTTTGTATGCGTTTGTTGGAAAATTACATATTCCCCAATTTACAGTTAGGCTAAAAATATGCTAATTTAGAAGCCTTCAAGTCAGGGCCTGCATAACAGCAGGACTGAAGAGTTTAAGCCTTGAGAAAGTATGTTAAAGAGAAAATTGAAGAAAGAGAGAAATAAAGAATGGTTGGCCTTCCAGTGTAACAAAATGAGGTACTAAAATAATTATGCTCATCTGACCGTAATCAAACTACCCAAAACCCATAAGCTTCCGGGGGCTCAGCCCCTGGATCCTCGCCAATCAGTAACCTGCCAGTGTCACAAATAAGGTATCAAAATATGCTCATCTGACCCATATTACATGCTTAAAACCCCTGAGCTTCATGGGGCTCAGCCCCATGGAGCCCACGCCAATTATAGTGACCTATATATGTCTCAAATAACGTATGCTAAATAAATTATGCTCATCTGACCGAAATGACATGCCTAAAACCCCTGAGCTTCCGGAGCTCTGCCCCCTGGACACCAGGGGCCTTAAGACGGCCCCTGAATGCTCATCTAATCGTATTTAAATACCTAAAACCCCTGAATTACGGGGGTTCCACCCCTGGGCCGCAAGGTCCCCAAGGCAGGCCCATGGATGCTCATTTAACCGTCATATCTAAAACCCCTATAACTTTCGGACACCAAGGGCCCAAGGGGAGCTCCTGGATGCTCTTCTGACCGTAATTAAATGCCTAATCCCCTGAGCTTCCGGGGGCTCCGGCCCCTGGGCCCCCACCAGGGGCCCTAAGACGGGCCCCTGAATATTCATCTCTTATCATTAAAGGGATCCGGTAACTTTGTCTTAGATTCTGACAAAAAATTCTGGATTTAGCTCATGATGCATTGATAATTATAAACCTTTAGATCAGTCAGGAACCCCATGACTTTTACAAGCCGATCGCCTGTCTGATTATCTTGATATTTATGATTGGAATTACAAATTTTGAAAACCGTTCGCCTGACGGTTTTCATAACACTACAGTCTATTGGGGAAAACGAGTATGGTAAAACCGGTCACTCAAAGATTTTTACTTTTTTGAGGCACTTCTTAATCATTTTGAAGCGCAATTTTGTTAGAGCTTCAATATTACACCATATCACAGACACTGTTAACACGTAGGGCCGTGTATCTCAGATTTAACATTGTTAAACGATCCCTTTAAAGGCGTCATTACTGTCAAGCGACTAAGAGCAACTTCCCTAAAGTTCGCTCGCTACGCTCACTCGCATTTATAGATGATTGTTATTTACCAAAGGTTCTTTCAGTCTTCCACTCCGTCGCTCCACCGCCCCTGCACCTGGTATGGTATGGGCCATGGGCGGAGAATTGTTTTCAACATTTCATCAAACCTAGATGAAAATAGTGATGAGGGGCATCTGAAAGTTAAAGATATATTGCAAAATGAAAAAGAAATTACTCTTTTTTTCTTTCTTTTTTTTCTTCTTTTTTGTCATGCATGTGATAACAAAATTGTAAATGCTTTTGATCTGCTTGGATAACTTTTTTTTTCAGAGCCTGAGAGGGGAAAACAAAGACTGCTACGCATTTATGAAAAACCGTCATCTACAGATATTCCTATATTATTCGGCCTAGACCCTTATATTCTAAATGGGCTCTTTAATTCCTAAGGAACGAAACGTTAACTTTTACCTTTCGCCCCTGAGCTGAGGAGAAGTCACTCATATTTTATATTCGTGGCAAAATCTCAAGACAGTATCCCCGGAAGAAAAAGAAAAATTTGATAAATTTTTGATAGATGAAAAAACTATGGTTGCCGATGTCATGTCGGCATATACATCTTCAAGCACTAGAGGGTGTCGCCGTTTTAGCACGGTCGAAATGTGACGTCATCAGCTCAGCCGGTCATAATTTCGACCTCGCCCTGTGCATTGGCCAGTACATGTATGCGCTGTCGACAGAACTAGCCTGAAAAGTACCGATTTTTGTTACAAATCTTTCCTATTTTGTGCTAATAGTAGTAAGTATTTACGTAGATTTTAATATTTGTAGTACATTTAATGAAATCATGATTAAAGAATATGTTGCAATCGCTTGAATTATTGTTTCTTATTGACTGCATTTTGAATGGTGGGCCGAAATGCTCTCTCCAGTCGCAGAACACCCTCGACACGCTATTTATATCCCATAGCTCTGGCGAGAGTTGCAAAGCATTTCCGCTCGTTTTTGATCATGTTGATAGACCGATTTAATATGGTGCATGATCAGATGTGGACTTTTTGTTCTTGAGACTGGAGAATATGATTACATGCACATCACGATTGTA